GCGGTTGTTCAGACGGCTACGGCGGCGGCGGCAGTCGCAGGCACGGGCGGGGCCGGCGTTCGCCGGACTACTACGAGGAGTCGGAGCCGGAGCCGGAGCCGGAGCCGGAGGAGCTGACCCGCGTGTTTGTGGCTCTGTTTGACTACGACCCCCTGTCGATGTCCCCCAACCCTGACGCCGCCGATGAGGAGCTGCCGTTCAAGGAGGGCCAGATCATCAAGGTGACGGTTGGAGCGTGACGAAGAAAACTGAGATTGAAAAGTTAGCGTTGGTTAGCGTGATGGATAACGATCGGGAAAAAAAATAATATTGGAATTTATTTTTATATATATTTATATACATAAATATATATAAAAATATAAATTTTTATATATTTATATATATATTTATATACATACATATATAAAAAATATAACTATATTTTTTTATATATATATTTATATACATAAATATATGTAAAAATATAACTATATTTTTGATATATTTATATATATTTTTATATATATATTGATGTACATAAATATATATAAAAATATAAATATATATTTTTTGTATATTTATATATGTTTATATATATATTTATATATATATGGAGGGCCAGATTATCAAGGTGACGGTTGGAGCGTAACGAAGGAATTGAAAAGTTAGCGTTGATTAGCGTGATGGATAACGATCGGAAAAAAAGAATTATTGGAATTTATTTAACAAAAGTTGTTTCATCTGCATCGGAATTTGTGGTTTCACTTTTTTTTTTTATAAACCTACTGTAAAAAAAAAAAATTGTCGAACCCTCTGCAATACCATCGTTAACCACCAGAGGTCAGCATATATCCCCGAGTGGAAAAATCAATTCACAGATCCCTGGATCAACTGCAGGTGCTGTATTTCTGAGTTTGTCCTCTCTTTGACTCACCCAGTCTCTGTCCTCTGTCCTCTGTCCTCCAGGTGTTTGGACGGAAAGACACGGACGGCTTCTACAGGGCGAAGATCAGGGACCGCGTGGGTCTGATCCCCTGCAACATGGTTTCCGAGATCCAAACGGAGGACGACGACATGATGGAGCAGCTCTTCCATCAGGGCTTCCTGCCGCTCAACACTCCTGTGGAGAAATTAGGTGAGAGGACGATCCACTCACGGCAAATGTAGTGGGAAAATATATATATATAAATATATATAAAAAAATATAAATATATATTTTTTATATATATATTTTCATATATATTTGTATATTTTTTATATATATTTATATACATAAATATATATAAAAATATAAATATATATTTATAAATATATTTATATACATATATATATAAAATTAACTACATATTTTTTATATATTTATATACATAAATATATATAAAAATATAACTATATTTTTATATATGTATATATATTTTTATATATATTTATATACATAA